CACCCGCCGGGCCCTGCTGCGGTGCCACGCGCAGTCAGCCTGGGCTCGCTCTCTGACGCGCTTACGACAGAAGAGCCCCCTGGGCCGACCTGGGCGCCCGACGGCCCCGGCCAGGCACCCGCCGACGCGAAGGGCCTGGGCCTGAGAGGAGCCGAAGCCAGGCGCGATTCCCGCACGGGGGCTTTTCCAGCTAAATCCCTGACGGCCCGGGGCCACAGGCTGTGGCTGGGCGCGCCCCAAGAGCAACCCTCGCCCAGTCTCGCCTGCCCTGAGCCCGGAGACCAAGCTGCTGCCCGCGACGGCCAGCTAAAGCCGGGTGAGTCTGGAGGCCCACCCACGGGGCGCCCTCTGGCACGAGGTGAGGAAGCAGCCCTAGGGACACCGGGCTCCCTGCCGACACCCGGACCCCCCGCCGGGAGGCTGGGGTCACAGGCGCCAGCGGGCCACCCGCGACACGGGGCCACAGGTCAGCAGGAGGGAGCTGCCCGGCAGACACAGGAGGGCAGCTGCTCGGCTCACCCCACTCCTGCAGAAGCGCCCTCAGCCCCCTGGCAGCCGACCCAGAGGGCTCTGAAGCGCCCCCTGCGCGCCACGCGCCCGGTGCGGGGGTCAGCTGGAGATGACCCGGCTGTTCCCGCGGCTCAGCTGCTGCCCAGGCCGGACCCACCGTCACAGGGGCGGGGGCCGCAGCGCAGACAAAGCGCCGACGGCAGCAGAGCCGGCCACCAGCACGGGAGCGAGAACGCGCGCCCGCGGTCTGGGCACCCTGGATCCAGGGCCGGGCCTCAGGGCTCCGGCGGCGGACACTCACCGATGGCAGAGCCGTTGAGGAAGAGCGCCACGCCGCAGAGCACGCCCACGCACAGCGCCAGGATGAAGGGCCGGCGGCGGCCCCAGCTCAGGGTGCAGCGGTCGCTGGCCGAGCCGATGAGGGGCGTGAAGATGAGGCCGAGGATGGGGCTCAGGAACCAGGTGAGGCTGTAGTACTGCTCCGGGAGGCCTGCCGGGCACGCGCAGGTCAGGGCGGCCGGCCGGCGCCC